CTTGCAAGTAGTACATTTCTCATGCAAATGTGTTAGGCTGCGTGAGTGTGTCAGGCCAGTGAGCTGAGGGCCTGGTGGACTGAGGGCCGGGCAGACCAAGGGTCCTGCGTGGGCTAAAGACCCCCGGCGAGCTGGCCAGCCTGGCTCAGGTGGCATGCATTCTCACTCGTGTGCAGGGCAGGAACTTTGGGCTTCAGCCTGCACTCCATTCCTGTAGTACAGCAAGGTGGCCCCCAGGTCCTTCCATCAGCACCTAAGCCACTAGCCTGGTTACACCCAGGGCACACCTTGGGCAGCAGGCCTGTGCCCTGTGGGCCTCACCCCCTCCCCCTAGGACTCTGGAATACCACCCTCCTGCCTTGCTATCCTGCCTCCCACAACCCGTTGAAGCACCTTGGCCTCACCCCGAGGGAGGATATGCTGGGTGTGGCAACAACAAGTCTCCCGGAGGAGAGACAATAGGACAGGAATGCATTAGCTTCCGAACAAACACTGTGCGGGCTCGCACAATCGCCTTGGAGTCTTGTCCAAGAAACACATTTTGGTGTTCGAGGGTGAGGGTGGCTCAGCCTGCCCCAGCCCGCCTACATCCCTCCTGTTCCAGACGCAGCGAGAGCCGGCTGCACACCGCCCCCCAACATCAGGCCTTCAAACCCAGGTTGGCCAGCCTTGCTGGGGAAGAGGGGCAGCCCCATCTACCCAAAGGGGAGCAGCCTTGCCTCTACTCTTTGAGGTTCTTCTTTAATAAATAAAGCACAGTTTCTGTGATCCCTGATGGAACATCACAAGTGAGACAGCTATTTGGTGCCCACAACAGATCTGAACTCAGTGATATCTGGTGCCGTCCTCACCATCTCCAACATACTTGAGCCCGTTGTTTTAGTCAGTGTGTCAATCTATCCCATTAAAGGTCTTCCTCTCTTACACTGACCCTCTACCCTTCCAAGCATGATGTCCTCTTCCAAGGACTTGCCCCCTCTTTACAGCATACCCCAAATATGTGAGACGGAGTTTCAGCATCCCTGCCTCCAGAGGTTTCAGTCTCTAGGACAGATTAGCTTATCCAAAACCTAGCTACCTCTTAGGAGAGCAGAGCCCTGGAGCAATAGAACATACACATTCAAATCAACAAGGGAGAGAATGCAAAGGCTCAACCCTGGGGTCCCAGCCCACAATGGCAAATCCAGTAAGGATTCCTGGGGAGCCGTTGGTCACACAGAGGCGCTGGGAGCCTTGAAGGGTGACACTAGAAGGGGAGCCAAGGAGGAGGGTCTGTCGGGTTGTCTCAAGGGCTCACCCTGGGTGAGACCAGCCAGCCTCTTGCTCTACCACAGAGAGCAACAGGAAGTCAGTGACTTCCTGGCTGTGAGCCAGGCTTGGAAGGATTTCCTCCTTGCGCTTGATGGCAGGTCCAGGAGATGCTCTTTGCTCAGCTCTCCTCTCAGAGCTGGCACTGAGCCCCCTGTCCCTGAGACCAGAGGAACTAGATGGTGCCCTGCTGCCACTACCAAACGTTCTGATCAGATTCTATAAAAATCTATAAGAATTCTATAAGAATCCTGATCAAAAGGGAGGAAATGCAGAAGAAAATCTCAGCTTCTCATGGAATGCAGATTTCTAGAGATGTGAGGTTAGATGAACCCTTATAACTATTGCTCTGAGTTAACTTGAAACCCTAAATTACCAATATCCCCCAAAGACTCTCTTTAAATCAAATTGTTGTTGTTGTTGTTGTTATGTGCCATCAAGTCACTTGTGACTCATAGCAACCATATGCACAACAGCTCTGAACCCTTTTCTCTCCTGTGCCAACCTCATTATTTCTGACACATCTATCCCATTACCCCAGTCACTGAGTCAGTCCATTTCATCCAGGGTCTTTCTCTCTTGCGCTATCCCTCCACCCTTTCAAGCATGATGTCCCTCTGTAAGGACTGGTCCCTCCTTGCAACATGTCCAAAGACTGGTAAAGAGTACTTGCCTTGAGTACTGTGGTCCCTTAAGAACCCCCTAAAGGGGTCAGGCTGACAGCAACCAACTCCAGCAATTAGACTGGACGCTTCTTCCTCTTCCGCCGTAGCCATTGAGTAGGAACCAACTGATGACCGACCCTCCAGCAGGTTTTCAGAGGCCATAAATCACATCGGAGGAGATTGTCCCTCTGCCTCCCTTGGAGCTGCTGGTGGATTTGAACTGCTAGAGAGGCATGACCTTCATGTTAGCAGCACAGTGCCCTTACCCACTAGGCCACCAGAGCTATAGGAAGCTGCTTGTTGTGTTGGAACTGATTCATAGCTGACCCTCCAGCCGGTTTTAGGCAGTAAAACACACGGGAGGAGATTGCCCATCTTTCTCCCTTGGAGCAACTACTGGGTTCGAACCACATGTCTTTAGGTTGGCAGCATAGCTCCTTACCACTGAGCCACCAGAGCTCCCTAGAGGAATCCTAGATGGTGAATTTATATTAATGGAGAAGGAGCTTAAGAAGTTGCACTGCTAACTCAGAGGGTTCAAATGTGCCAGCAGCTCTACCAGAGAAAGATGGGCAGTCTCTTCCATGTGCTTTACAGCCTCAGAAACCCAATGAAGGGTCGGCTATGAGGCAGGGCCAGCTCTATAGCAATAAGTGAATGAATGAGCTTGGAGAAGGGGATTGAGAATAATGGTACAAGTTCAAGGATGCAATTGATGTCCCGGAATTGTACTGTAGAGGTTATTGAACAAGTGTATGGTCTGCTATATAGAGTCCAAACAACAACAACAACAAATCAATAAAATAATTTTCTTTAGAAAAAGCTGGCCATGAGAGGCCAGGTCAGCGAGAGGGGCTGGACACAAATCTTCAGCCGCCACTTCCCAATCCTTGGAGCGTTCTCTGCAGTTCAGCAACCATGAAGGAAATCGGGAATGAACTACTCCTGGGCTGGCCCCATCCCTTTGAGAAAACCCAGCAGGCAATGTGCAGGGGACCCTACCTCACAATGTGATTCTTGGCTTCATGTAAACGTGCCCACGCAGCCAAACAAAAGATACAGCTGGAGGAGATGCTCAGGGCTTGAGTTGCTGCCCGCCCACCATGCTTGAGGCCACCAGTAATGTGGAGAAACTGGAACCCTCACCCAGTGCTGAGAGGAATATAAAGGGTGTCACCACTTTGGAAAACAGTTTGATGGCCTCTCAAAATAATTAAACATGATATTACCATGTGCCCAACATTTCTAAGTTCTACTCCTAAGTGTATGTGTGTGATATCTACACGGGAGAAAGGTGAGCAGTCTCCTCCCGTGTGATTAAACTGCCTCTGAAAACCTGCTGGAGGGTCAGCTGTGGGTCAGTTCTGACTCGATGACACAAAACAACAAATTTTACATATCCACAGGTTCCCATAAAAATTTGTGCCTAAGTGTTCATAGCAGCAGAAACAGCCCAAATGTCCATCAGCTGATAAATGGACAAACAAAATGTGGTTTATCCATGGAATATTATTTAATTATGAAAAGGAATGAAACATAATATGGATGGACTTGATAAACACTTTCATTCTCATGGCCACTGAGTCAGATCCAACTCACAGTTGACCCTCAAGCAGATCTTCAAAGGCTGAAAATCACATGGGAACGGAGTACCCATCTTTATCCCACAGAGCAGCTGCTGGGTTTGAACCTCTCTTTGGAAACAGTAGGCTAGGAGAAAGAATCCAATCTCAGCAGGTCACACATTGTGATTCCAGTGATATAAAATGTCCAGAATAGGAAAATCCACAGGGATAAAAATATCAGTGGTTACCATGGGACGGGACAAGAAGCCCTGGTGGCATAGTGCGTTAAATGTTGGATTGCTAAACAAAAGGCTAGTAGTTCAAATCCACCTGCCACTGCTCAGGAGAGAGGTATGCAGTCTCCTCTCCTAAGAATGGATAACCTTGGAAACATGATTGAATCACTAAGAATCAGAATAGACGGAATGACAGCAGGGTTTTAGTTTTTTACGAAAAGGGACAGAGTGAATTTGGACCTGGCTGCTAATGAATTCCATATGTCTCTTTAGGGGTGACAAAAAATGTTGTGGAGTTAGTGATGATGGTGGTACAGTCGTGAAAATATACCAAAAACAAGGTTGTAGACTTTAAAACTGGAAATTGTATGTTATTTGAATTGTGTCTTTTTAAAAAGAGAGAGAATGAGGTTGAGAGAATGGAGATAAGACGAGTAGAGGGAAACCTGCACGGGGTGTGGCCAGACCATGCACTGAGCAGCCGGGCCATGTCCTTGGTCAGAGAGCAATTCCAGCCCCTAGGAGATCAGCACAGCCGCGGTTTGGATTAAGAGCTGGACCAGGGGAGGGTGTGTGGATTATCGGAGCCCTCCTCTGGCCAGGACCTGCGGCCTCCTCAAAGTTGGGGGCCACCACTTAGCAAATCTGTGGTGTTGTTAGTGCCATTGAGTTAATTCCAACTCAGAGTGACCGCATGTGACAGACTAGAAGTTCCCTGTGGGGTTTTCTCCACTGTTGTTTTTACAGAAGCCAAGACTTTCTCCTGCAGACCCTCTGGGTGGGTTCAAACCACAAGCCTTTTTCCATTAGCAGCTGAGGCTTTAAGTCACCAGGCTCCTTAGAAGTCTTTAGTTTGTTTCATTCCCCTGACGATTTCTGCTGGCCAGTTATGTACAGTTCTTCCCAGGACACCTGCCACGCCCTTCAGTCCCACCTGTAACCCTGCTCCAGGATCATGCCAATCACAGTGGGCTGGCCTGGAAGTTGGTCCATCACCATCCCAACGGCCCTCAGCTGCTCAGAGCTCATGGAAGAAATTGCTGACTTCCTTATGCAGTTTTCCTTCTGGCCTCTGGAAAGTCAGTCACCCTCTGGCCAGCCCCCTGGAGATGTTTGTGGCCAAGTGCATCAGGACTGGATCTGGAAAGTGGAGGGTGGGTCCGGGCCCCACACGAGGCTGGGATTCCGTGAGCTGGTCCTAAGTGCCTGTCCCCTTTCTCCCGCAGCTCTTGCAGTCTCAGGACGTGAAGGAAGATGCTGTCCTTTGCTGCTCCATGGAGGTAAGTGGTAGGGCTTGGAGATCGCCCACCTCAGAGTCAGGGCGTCCCTCAGCCCTTGAACACTGTGGACACAAGTGTCCTTGATGCATCTCCAAGTCCGGAGAAAGGAAGTGCAGAGCTGGGCTGGTGAGAGATCACCTCATGATGGGCGTGAACTTTCCACACCAGAACTGTTCACTCTAAAGCAGAGTAGGTGCCCATGGGCAAGACCAGCCTCTCTGAGGAGAGGGGGGAGGGGAACTGCTGGCTGTAGGGGAGGATAGCCATTTTAGGGGTGTCACCCACTTTCCCTCTGACCCAAGGACTGCCTTGTCTTGGAATCAGCCACTCCACACAGTGACTCAGGAGATACCACATGACTGCCTGGTGATAAAGGTGTGGGGACAATGGAGGTTGCTTGGAACCTCTGTATTGTTACCATCCAAAGAGGCCACTCTTGTCCCCAAGGTGCTGCCACAGCTCATTGAGACCCTTCCTCTGGGATCTAAGACTGTGTTGGGCCAGCCATCAGGACAAACCGTTGCCCTCTGAAAACAGCTCAGAGTTGCCCAGCAGGAAATGCAGCGAGGAGAGGGGCTTCCAGCCTAAGCAGGCCCCTTATTCAAGGGCTCCCAATCTGGCCGTGAAGGCCATCTCACAGGCCAGAGGGTCAGGAGTGCTGAGAACCTGGACACCCCCAGCTCATATGTTGGGACCCTTGACAAAGCTGGGGCTGGGAGAAATGGGGAAGGAAAAAAAAAAGAAACCGTGACCTCTGCCTTCAGAGAGCTTTGAGTCTGGTGAAGAATGGATCATGTATATGCCCACATGTACATAGAGAGGAGAGCATGCAGGCCAGTGTGTACATGAGGCACACACCCCTGAGGGAGAGCTCATGAGTGAGACAGAAAAGGAGGGCTTGATAAAGAAGGCAGAGCCTGGGTCTCGGCTGGAACAGTGGGCCATGCTGGGGACTCAGGCTATCCAGAGAGGACCTCCAGGATAGTTCACCAAGGCCTCACTAAAAGATTGGGACTCCTTCCCAGGGCCTCTCTGGGAAAGTCTGCAGGTCAGGGACCTCCCTAAATTATTGAAGACTCCCTAAATTATTGAAGAGCAATGATGTCAGTTTGAGGACTAAGGTGCATCTGATTCAGGCCATGGTGTTTTCTATCACTTGCTATGCATCTGAGAGCTAGACAGGCAAAAAAGATGACAAGAATTGATGCCTTTGAGCTGTTGTGTTGGAGAAGATTACTGAATATCCTGTGGACTGCCAAAAGAACAAACAAATATGTCTTAGAGAAAATGCAGCCAGAGTGCTCCTTGAAGGCAAAGATGATAAAACTTCATCTTACACACTTTGGGCATATTACTAGGAAAGACTACTCCCTGGAGAAGGACATTGTACTTGGAAAGGTAGAGGATCTGTGAAAGTGATAGGAAGCCCCTCAACCAGACAGACTGACGCAGTGATTGCTGCAACAGGTTCTAGTATGTCAGGAAGTGTGAGGATGGCAGATAGGACAGATCTGTTGGTTGACGGATCCTACTCGACTCAACACCACCTACCAACAACTTGGGACAGGTCCTGGCCCTGTGGCTCGCCTTCTTGCCCTGGTTCGTATTTCTCTTCCCCCCTTGGTATCACAGATGTGAGCAGAGGTCATCTGGGGGCTGAAAGGTGGGACCTAGGGCAAAGCAAGGAAATGGAGGCCTCATCCCTGCTCTCAAATTCCACTTGGGTGCACGCAGGTAATTATGACCTACACACGTTTCTAGAAGGACACCAGCAAGTGAAAATGACACAGTACCACCTGATCACCAAAGGAAGCAGACCCAGGGGCCAGCTTTTGATGCAAGTGTTTAATCAGAGAAGGCTTCTTGGAGGAGGGGGCTCGTGGGAGAGCTTCCTTTCAGCCCTGGGCAGCAGGCAGACAGTCTGCTCCCTCATATCCCTTCAGCTGATTGACTGTTGGACGTGGGCCCTCACAGGAGTCCTGTAGCACAGTGGTAAAGCACAGGCTTCAAACCACAAGGTTGGTAGTTTGAACTTACCCATCTTGGGTCCCCTGTATCATCAGAAGGCCATGTGGTGTCTCTCACGTCATTGTATGGAGTGACTGTTCCCAGGATAAGCCAGTCTTTGGGTCAAAGTTTTGGTTCCACAATAGGAAGACCTGGCAGGCTGCTCCAGTGCAGATTATTGTTGGTGTTAGGTGTCGTCATGTGGTCAAAGACTCATGGCCACCCCACAGATTTTCACAATCGCCAACATGCTCTAACCCATTGTTACAATCATGGTGTCAAACCATCTTGTTGAGGGTCTTCCTTTCTTTCTCTGACACCCCGCCTTTCCCAACATGATGTCTTTTTCCAAGGACTAGCCCCTCCTGACACAGTCGAGAAAGTCCCATGGGGTTGCTGTGAGGCACAGCTCCACCCAAGCCTTCCCTGCCCCGGCGGTGTGTCCCGAGTCAGCCCAGCTCCTGAGGAAGATGGGGCCGTGCCGTGGTGCCCAGCTCCAGGCTAACCGCTCTCCTCTGCCCGCAGCTGCAGAGCACAGGCCGGCTGCTGGAGGAACAGGTGCCCGAGATGATGATGGATCTCCTCACCAGCGCCCGTGACAAGATGCTGTGCCCCTCAGAGTCCATGCTGACCCGGTCGCTGCTCCTGGAGGTCATTGAACTCCACGCCAACAGCTGGAACCCCTTGACACCCCCCATCACGCAGTACTACAACAGAACCATCCAGAAGCTGACAGCCTGACAGCCGGGGGAACTGGCGGGCGGCCCGCGGGCAGCTGGGGCCCTGGTACACAGGGCCAGATGGACAGGGGTGGCCCTGGCGGGAGAAGGCAGCAGGGAGGAAGGCACGCAGAGCTGGGGGCCAGGCCGGAGCCAGGCAGGGACGGGATCGGCCCCTCAGAGGAGCCCCCAGCCCAGCATGTCCCCCGCTCACCAATAAGGGACGCATGTTTCCTCTCCCAAGTGGCCTGGGCCTCTCGCCCTCCCTCAATCCTGCTCGGCCCCCTCCCACCCAGCACGCCCCCTGCACAGGGGCTTTGTGCCAGGGGTTCATCTCGGTGACTCTGCCGAGACCTCTCCCGCCGGGCACCAGCGTGGGTCCGAAAGGACCTCAGGGCTGCAAAAGTGGGTCGGAGACGGGCGTGCATTGTTTCGCATTCTGTCCGCTGCTGTCGCCAACTGGCAGGAGGCGACGTATAGCAGATGTCCCTGAGGACAAAGGCAGGCACAGTCCCTACAGCCACCATAATTGACGGCCTTTGTCAGCCACGGGGCAGAGGGGGAAGCTGAGTCTTCTTCTCCATCACCGTCATGTCCAGCGCCCCCACGCCGCCAGCCCCTGCCCCGGGCCGGGGGGAGGGGGGGATGGCCTGCAGGATGAGGGGGTCTTTGCATTACATTTGCACTCTCTTGTTTTACTGTGTTTTATTTTCCAAAAGTCGGCTCCTTTGCAGCCTCTTTTCTCAATGGAAAGAGCTTGCGTTCTGCTCTGCGAGGAGGACCCGTCTGATTAGCAGGAGAGCAGACTGGGGCCCCTCTGGAAGGATTCTAGCCACAGCCAGCCTGCCAGTAGCCAATTAGGGTAATTGGAAACTTCTGCCCCCACAGGGGTCCCTGCTGGAATCCTGTGTTCCTCAGCCACTAGCCTCCAGTGGCCCTGCAATCTCATTTTCACTTTGCTCTGTCTTGAAGGGCTGATACTGTCGCTGGTGGAACTGCACTAAAGCCGGGCCTGGCCCCCAGGCCGTATGGGGGACAGGGCACCATGGAGCATGGCGAGCAAATTGAAACCAACAGGCAGTGTTGGCCCCAAGCTCATAGTGGGGAGAAGGCCGAGGACCAGTTAGTTCAATGGTCAGCTGCCCCAGACCCCCCAGCTTCTGTCTGTCGCTCCAGTGAAGGGGAGGCCCACTGAGTTGTGATGGTGACCACTCAGGACCGCCAGAGTGCTTCCTGAGCTGGAATTTTCTAGAAGTCCCAGGGAGCAGCCACAGGCAGGTGGTCAGAGAGGAGGCCTGAGCACTCGAGAGGAGGCCAGTGTCCAGGGCGCCTGCCTGGCTACATCTCCAGGGTCTGGAGCCCACCCTGCGAAGAAGGAGCCCCAGAGAATGACATCAGCCAGCGACTTCCTTCCTTCTTTTTGGAGGCTGGTCACTCCCAGGGATGTTTGGTCCAAATCTGACCTGGAGGAGCTGATGGAGCAGGAAGACTTCCACTTATTTATTCCAAGTCTTAGAAAGCAGGTGGGGTACGGTGAGGAGAACGGTCCCTCATCCTCCCTGGCTTTACTCATTAGCTGGAGTCTCAAGGGCGCGAGCCTGTTGTGGACAAAGTATGAGACTGGTGAGAACTCCACGTTGTCCTGACCCCTGGATCTCACCCTCTTTCTTCCCAAGCCTTTTTCTTCTTGAGCTTCTCCTTTCTACCTTCCCTCAGCTGGCACCTCAGGCCCAACCCAGGGCCCAGGGACACCAGGAGCCATCCTGGAGGCCTCGAGAGAGTAGTGAATGAGGATTGGATGCTCAGGGAGGGACACCAGGGAAATCAGGCTCCATGAGGGGCCAGTCGCAGCCGGGCATGCAGTCCTCGTCCTCAGAGACTGAGCACACCTGTGCTTAAGTGGTTGGCACATCGAGAGAGAGAGAGAGAGAGAGTGTGTGTGTGTGTGTGTGTGTAAAGGCCCAGAAAGAAGGGAATGGCCTAGGCAGGGGACACACAGGTGAGACCCTTCCTTGGACTCAAGGGTCATGTTCCCCACAGAAGCTAACCTAGGTGGCATTTCTCACCCTTCCTCTGTCAATCCCTTCGATTTTCTCACCTCACAGCCAAGCCCACCTTGACTGTTAGGCCCCCACGCAGAAGAAGTGAGATATAAATATGTATACATATATAAATATATTTTTTAATTACGTGTCGTCTCACGGAGGCTCCAGGTTTGCCTAATGGATTTCATTGCTCGAAGGCACTTCCTGGCCCAATCGGGTAACAATTTAAGCCGTTTTCTAAACGCCGTCACTGCGACTTTTGCCGACTTAGAAAATGTTTCCAAAAGCTTGTTTTAAGGGAACAGCGTCAAAAGGCCAAACATCCAAGACGCCGAGGCAGCTTTCCATGGGAGACTGCTGGGCAGGAACTGAGGGGTTCAGGGGTCCCTGGGCCAGAGCCCCCTCCGCTGAGTGAGGAAGGCCGCGTCCCAGTTGACCTCTCAATGTGTCTGGTGGGAGGAGGAGCTGCATGTTGCGTTTCTGAGGCCTGTGTTGTTGTCCCTCCTCGCCCGCGGTTTTCTTGGCGCATCCAAGAGGCCAAGCCTGGCCATCTGATGTTGATCCTGTTTCGGTCTCCCCCCTGCTAGCCAGGCCGCATTAATCATTGCTTTCCTCTCTGACGGTCTGTTCCCACAACCCTGTGGCTTTGCCTAAGCTCCAGCCACGGCCCCATAATGCAGCTCCTAACCTTCCCAGTGAGGCCAGAGACCCCACCACCTTTGCTGGGCAGGTCTGCATCCAAACCCAGTTTTCGTACGTGTGTCCTTCCTCGTCCACTCCGTAAACCTTTAAGGTCTAAGGATCGTCCTGTCCATGTAAATGTCAATGTTGGCCGAAGCGGTATTTATTCTAATTTTTATTTTATTTCCTCTGCAGGTTGAGGTGGGAGGGATGGGAAATGTATGCCTGGTCACATCCTGGGCAGCTGCAGGGACATGATCCAGAAAGTCCGGCTGCCCAGAGAAGCAGCCTCTGGGGTTCCCTAGGTGGGCTTCAAAAAGGCCACTTCCGACTGTGTTAACTGTGTGTAGCCGGTGGCCACAGAGCTGGGGCTTCAGTGATGGACTCTTGGCCTGCCCATGGGAATTGTGGCCACTCTACTGGGAAACCACAGACTGGGCTTCTGAGGACTCAGGTCAGAGAAAAGACGGCGCTGCTCCACCTTGGACGCTTGTGCGGAAGGGCTATCCACCTGGCCCGAGCCTGCTGTGAACACCACGGAGGGCCCTGGGGCTTCCTGCCAGCGCTCACGCGACCGCCTCCCTCCCTCGGTGTGTCCTGCTTTCCAGCTGAACCCCAACTGCAAGTGGGTTTAAAAAATAAACACCAAAAAAGAAGCAGCACCCTGAATGTGTGTCCTTTGTGTGCTCAGAAGGTTCTTGGGTCTCAGCTGGTGCTGTCAGCCCTCCTGGACTCCTTAGGAGCTAACAAGGAGATTCCCCACCGTTAGGCACCTGCGGATTGAGGAGAGAGCTGGACCACTTGGGGAGGCTTTGAAGCAGTGATCCTAAAGAACATTGGTGACAGGGACTCGGGTCCCCAAAGCTGAGCGCAGAGGCCAACCCACTCTAAGCACCACACACCCACCCTTCCCCAGGAAGTGGCATTTGGCAGTAACTGCTTTGAGGACGGCTGAGACCTAGACCTAGTGGCTTCTAAGAGTCAGCAGTAAGTGACTGTCTGGGCCCTAGCTGGCCAAGTGAGTCTGTCATCAAAGGGTCCCAGAGAGGTCCAAGCTCTTTTCCTGTGACATGTCCCTGGTTTTGCACAATCCTTCCACTGCAAGGATCTGGGGACACTGCCTCCTGGTAACTCTCCCTCTTGGGATTCTTCCTAGCTAGAACTGGCCAGTCTGCCAACTCCTTGAGCTGGTGACCACAGTATCCATCCCTGTTATACCTTCTAGACAGGCCCAGGTGGTGACTGGGGCAGCCAAGGAGCCTGGTGGGGGCAGAGTGAAATGTGCTCATGGCCCATTCCTGAGACAGTATGCCTTGACCCTATACACGGATAGACGAGGTAGAGAAATATCGCATTTTAATTGAACAATTGTAATTGTCAAGTCAGTTTGAGGGGTTTTTTTAAAATACAAAAGAGTTGGAGCAGAAATTTGGAGGTCAAAATAGATGTGTTTGAAGACTAGTAGAGAAGAGGTCATCTACTGAACACAGTTCACCAAAAGGGACGTGAGATTTGGGGAGATGGCTTTCAGTCACCCGGAAGGGTAAGAATTACTGAGTATCGTAAAGCAGATCATCCAAGCATTTCAGTTCTGCGTCCCCCCATCTCTGCTGATCGGTGAGGGAGCCCTGCTGGGGTAGTCCATAGTGAGCCGTGCTGCTAACACAGAAAACGCAAGTCTCTGGCAGTTCAAATCCACTCGCAGCTCCATAAGAGAGAGTCTCCTGCCATCGTGATTTACCGCCTCGGAAACCCAGAGGAGTCAGCACTAACCTGATGGCAGTGAGCTTGGCATGTTTAGTTTGCTGGTGTGTGTCACCTGCCCTCCTGAGTGTGAGAGTGTGAACTACATTGGTGCTGGGGCTTATAAGGAGAGCGGGAGAGACTTTTCCTGTTGAGCACACAAATTATAAAGGTCTTTTAAGTCCTAAGCCACAGGTAGCAGAGAAAGAAGGGAATGAGGAGGTAAAAGAGAACTTAGTAACTCTGCCTTACTACTCACGGTCTCTGTCGTTCCCTGGAACTGTCCCCAGCAGTTCTGGCAGGACCATACACTGCTGACCCATGTGGTTAGATCAGTGAAGTAAGCACATGCGTGTTTTTTAATTCTCATTTAACAGATGAGAAAATGAAGGCTCAGAAAAGTGAAATGACTGCCCCAGTGAGTGGAAGGGCCAGGGCCTGGCTAGAGCCCGGTGGCCTTTCCACCAGCCAGGTCATGCACGCGTCCTCTGCCGCCTCCTCCTTCTTGTCTGCCCAGAGCGGGCCCCAGGGAGCGGGCCCCAGGGAGCTGACC